GGTTTCACTTTGCAACTTCCTCTTTCCGAGTTCCCCTCACGGAGGAGGAAGGCCAGGTGCTCCAGTTGACCTTGGAGAAAGCTGAGGGGAAACATGAGGGCCGATATCTGCCGGGTCTCTCAGGACGCTGAGAAGATGCAAGCCGACCTCTAGAAAGACCTCAATCGATCAGAATAGAGCTGGAAGGGACCTTGGAGGTCATCTAGTCCAGCCCCCTGCTCAAGCAGGAGACCCTTGCAGACTCAGAGAATGACAGAGTTGGAAGGGACCTCAGAGGTCATCTAGTCTAAACCCTCCCCCCCCCCCCGCTCAAGCAGGAGTCCCTTACAGGATCATGGAATAACAGTTGCAAGGGAACTTGAAGGTCTTCTAGTCCAACCCCCTGCTCGAGCAGGAGACCCTTGACCGTTTCAGACAAGTGGCTGTCCAGTCTCTTCTTTAAAATCTCCAGTGTTGGAGCACCCACAACTTCTGGTGGCAAGCTGTTCTTTGTGGAAAACGAAAGAACTCTTACGAATTCCAGAGGGGTTTAGCAGAGAGGTTTATTTGCGCAGGTTCAGAGGCATAGTGGAACATGCGATTCTGAACAAGGAGGGCGGGATTGGACTTCAGTTTTTATACTATCCTTTGAAGAACAAAGGACTACACATTGAAATACACACTGTGATACATTAGGATCGTTTCTCATGGGCATACAATGGAAGGTTTTGCTACATACAAAGTATCCATGTGCAATGCGCATTTGGTTAGCCACATATTACTGACACAGAACTTTCCCAGTGAATTTTCCCAGTGATTATGCATTACATCATTGTCCTAGCAATTATGCAGAGAAATCATTATTCTAGTTATGCAGACAAATTATTATTCTAGTTATTGTTCATTTTACTACAGTTCCACTGGTTGTTCTCACTGTTAGGAAGTTTGAAAAACCCCTGCTCTGTAGAGGTGCTTCTCCTCCAGGGCTGGCTGGGGAATGCTGGGAGTTGAAGTCCACAAGTCCCACAGTTGCTGGGTTTGGACACCCCTGCTATAGAACAACGAAGAATCGAGAGAGGTATTTGCTCCCCTCTGCTGTGTGATTGTGAAGTCATTTATGGAAAACATTTTCTGTTTTTCTTATTGCAAAGGGCTTAAATGATTTCTCTATGTCTTTATTATATTTCAGAAAGAAGCATTAAAATACAATCACAAATCTCTCTCCTCATTCTCTCCCTTTTTCTTTCTTCTCATTCTTTCTTTCTCATTCTCTTTCTTTTTCTTTTTCCCTTATTCTCTCACCCTTTCTCTTCTCATTCCCTCATTCTCCCTTTTTCTCTTTCTCATTCTGTCATTCTTTCTCAGTCTCCCTAATTCTTTCTCATTTTCTCTCCTCATCCTTTCTCATTCTGTCCCTTTTTCCCTTTCTTTCATTCTTTTATACCCTTTCTCTTTTCTACTTCTGTGTCATTCTTTTTCATTCTCTCCCTTTCTTTTCTCATTCTCTCCCTCTAATTCTGTGTCATTCTTTCTCATTCTGTCTTCTAATTCTGTCCCTTTCTCTTCCTCTCTATTCTAATTCTTTCTCACTCATTCTTTCACATTCTCTCCCTTTATCTCCATTCTTTCATTTTTTTCTTTCTCATTCTTTCTCACTGTATCATTCTTTCATATCCTTTCTCTCTCCCCTTCTAATTCTGTCTGTGTCATTCTTTCTTTCTATTTCTCATTCTGTGTCATTCTCTCATTCTATCCCTTCTAATTCTGCCATTCTTTCTCTCATTATCTTATTCTCTCTTCTAATTCTGCCATTCTTTCTCTCATTCTCTTCTAATTCTGCCATTCTTTCATTCTAATTCTGTCATTCCTTCTCTCATTCTGTCTCTCTTCCTCTCATTCTATCTCTCTCCTCTAATTCTCTCATTCTCTTCTCATTCTGTGTCATTCTTTCGCTCATTTTCTTTCTCACTCTCTCTCCACGCACACACACACACATACATACACACCTCTGTTTTTCCTCAAAAAGACTATTTTAGGGAGGAAATCCTGAGGGAAATCCTGAGGTAAACGGACGGAGCACAAAAGGACGGCCGGGAGAAGAAAAAAAAAAAAGGCGGGAAAAGAAAGGGGGAAGCTCCCCTTCCCCCCCACACCCAGAGCGACCAATCCCAGCGCAGATCGCCTCAGGCAGGAGCGCCGGCCCTCTCCAGCCAATCAGCTGCACGTGGGCGTGGCCTGGCTCACCCTGACGACCTTTCCCTGAAGCGGCTGCTGAACTGAAGGAGTTTCAGAGTTGGGGGTGGGCTGGGAGCGGGGGGGGGCTGGGGTGGTTGGGGCGCCCTCCTCCTCCCTGCAGTGGGTCCTCCCCCCCAACGGGCCACGTGACTCCCTCCTCCCTCTTCTGGACCCTATTCTGCAACTGGGCCTTCTGCTGGGCAAGGCTGTGGGGCCTAGTGGTTGCCTGTGGGGTGATTGGGTGTTTTTGTGTGTGTTTTTTTAAAAAAAAACCTTTATTCCTATTTTCAGGGTAAGCCTCTCGAAGCCATTCTGGAGTCGGAAGGAAGGAAAATAGAGCTGGAAGGGACCTTGGAGGTCTTCTAGTCCAGCTCCCAGCTCAAGCAGGAGAATACCAACTCAGACAGCTGGTTGTCTAGCCTCCTTAAAAACCTCCAGTGATGGAGCACCCACGATTTCTGGTGGCAAGCAGTTCCACTGGTCGATTTTGCTCACTGTCAGGAAATTTCTCCTTAATTCCAGGTTGCTTCTCTCTTTGGTCAGTTTCCATCCATTGCTTCTTGTCCTGCCTTCAGGTGCTTTGGAGAATAACGTGAGCCCCTCTTCTTTGGGGCAGCCCCTCAGATACCGGCACACTGCTATCATGTCTCCCCTATTTTTTCTTTTCTTTAGACTAGCTAGAGCAGTGGTTCTCAACCTCTGGGTCGGGACCCCATTTGGGGTCGATTGACCATTTCATGGGGGTCGCCAAGCAAGGCTGTCCACCATTTTTTTTGTCCGCCATTTTTTCCCCCTTTTCCAGCGGGTGCCTTACCTCCCTTGGGCTGGGCCAGCTGGTGGTCAGCCTGCTCCGTCTCTGCTGCTTGCCAGCTACGCCTCGGCCGGCACAGGGGGCGGAACCACGCATGCGCGGCGCTCCCGGGCAGGGAAAGTCCTCGACTTACGACCGGTTGGGTAGTCCTCGACTTACGACCGGTTTAGTCCTCGACTTACGACCGGTTGGGGTCGCGGCATTAAAAAGGTTGAGAACCACTGAGCTAGAGGGATAGACAGACAGATAGATAGATAGATAGATAGATAGATAGATAGATAGATAGATAGATAGATAGATAGATAGATAGATAGATAGATAGATAGATAGATAGGCAGATAGACTGACAGGCAGATAGGCAGAGAGCTAGGCAGATAGAGAGATAGGCAGATAGATAGGTAGATAGATAGATACGTAGATAGATAGATAGGCAGACAGATAGACAGATAGGCAGAGAGATAGGCAGATAGATTAGGTAGGTAGGTAGGTAGATAGATAGATAGGCAGAGACAGGCAGATAGGCAGAGATAGGCAGATAGATTAGATAGGTAGGTAGGTAGATAGATCGAGAGGGGGGGGGAGATAGGCAGAGAGATAGGCAGATAAATTAGGTAGGTAGGTAGGTAGGTAGGTAGGTAGGTAGGTAGGTAGATAGATAGATAGATAGATAGATAGATAGATAGATGATAGATAGATAGATAGATAGATAGATAGATAGATAGATAGATAGATAGGCAGACAGACAGACAGACAGACAGTCAGACAGACAGTCAGACAGATAGGCAGATAGGCAGGCAGAGATAGGCAGGCAGAGATAGGCAGATAGATTAGATAGAGATAGCTAGATAGGCAGATAGATAGACAGACAGATCGATAGATAGGCAGAGACAGGCAGATAGGCAGAGAGTTAGATAGGTAGGTAGGTAGGTAGAGAGAGAGAGAGAGACAGACACAGACAGACAGGTAGATGGAGAGAGAGAGAGAGAGAGAGATAGGCAGAGACAGGCAGATAGGCAGAGATTAGATAGGTAGGTAGGTAGGTAGATAGATAGATAGATAGATAGATAGATAGATAGATAGATAGATAGATAGATAGATAGATAGGCAGAGACAGGCAGATAGGCAGAGAGATAGGCAGATAGATTAGATAGATAGATAGATAGAGAGAGAGAGAGAGAGAGACAGGCAGATAGGCAGATAGATAGGCAGAGAGATAGGCAGATAGATTCGGTAGGTAGGTAGGTAGGTAGATAGGTAGATAGATAGATAGATAGATAGATAGATAGATAGATAGATAGATAGATAGATAGATAGATAGATAGATAGATAGATAGTCAGAGACAGGCAGATAGGCAGACCGATAGGCAGATAGATTAGGTAGGTAGGTAGGTAGATAGATAGAGGGAGAGAGAGAGATAGGCAGAGAGATAGGCAGATAGATTCAGTAGGTAGGTAGGTAGGTAGATAGATAGATAGATAGATAGATAGATAGATAGATAGATAGATAGATAGATAGATAGATAGATAG